TACAGGATTTTCAACACAGAAAATAACAGAGAAGAAGCAGGCTGTAGTTTGGGATAATCATGACAATATGGGACTCAGGTGGGGCTGCTGCTTGCTTTCCATGTTTGAGTCAAAAAGTATGTGAATCATGCCAGATACACATTTAAGCTAGATAAATACACTGAAGGAAATGTCTAACAGATTACTTTTTTAAAAACTAACTCACATAAATTCCTAATCATCTATCTATAGCTCTGAACGATGGAAGTTATCCATCTTGTATTCTCGTGATTCCTGCAGTATTGGTTACCTCATTTGCATAAAATGAATAGAATAAATTGTTACGAATCCAAAAATATACGGTTGCCAGGATACATCTTGCTCGATGCAAATGAAAATGGGTTTGTGCCGACCAGCTTAAAGTAGTTTGGAGCTTAGACATTTTCTTATTAACACTAATAGTGATAAATGAAACATTACATATCCAGTGAGCTATTGAAATTATTAATATTTGTTTGGCAAAAGGAATTTTACTTGAAGCAAGTCTGAATTAATGGTTGTACAATGTAATTCAACTAAAATACCCTGAGGTTTTACAGTGGAAACAGCATTCAAAGTGAATATTTCATGCTTCCTTCTTTATAAACTTTTGAATTTAAATGGTAAGTTTCTTGTTAATTGTTTTTATGATTTTCAGTGCTACAGCCTTAATAACAAGCATCTATCAGTGTACAGAAACACTATTGTAATGCTTTGTCCATGCGTAATATGTGGGTAAAGTAGTTATAGTTGACAATAACAAAAAAAATGTCCTAGGATCTAACCACATTTCTATACAATGACACTGACAAACTCTTATTTAATGTATATTATTCTGAGTTGCTAAAAATGACAAAAATATAATTTATTTTTATTTGAAGGATTATATTTTATAAATCTCCATTTTTAAGCTGTACACATGCATATCAATACTTTTAAAAGCATGTGCCAGAAGTTAAACTATATAACTTTTCTGAGTAAATTTATTTAATTTGCATTGAATGTCTAATGAAGATACTTAATGCATAAAATAATTACATTTTTATTGTTTGCTATTCAAGTTGTTACATGTCTTTAAAAGGGGATTATATATCTTATATATTGACTTCCAAACAGGTAGATAAACAGGGATCAGACTTCCAGCTATATTCAGATGAGACTCCAGTGTTTTTTGGTGAGTGGTGTAGCTGCTGTAACCTGCCATGGCTGGTCCCTTGTCAGAAAAGGGCTGGCTGCCCATGCCTTTGCCAATGTCACGTGCCAGTTGATACAAGAGAGAAACTGGGGGTTATTACAGTCAAGGCTCAGTGTGCTCTGAGAAAAAAAAATGTGCTCTGAGAAAAAAAAAAAAAAAAACCTCTTCATGCTGAAGATAGCTGAGACAATTGAAACGAGGAAGTTTACAAAGAACCAACCTTACAAATGGTTGGTTCTTTGCTAGGAGAGAAAAATACTGACAAAGCCACAGCAGCACTGTTCTTTCATAGGAAACAACTTCAGACACAATTCAGAGTTGTAAAATTATAGATTAACTCCCTCCTCTCCTCTTTTGATTTGTTGTGTCTTGGAAGCTACTGGCTTCATTCCTAATTTTCAGGCACATAACTGAAAAAGAAGATTATGTCCCTAAATTATAAAATAGCACTGAGGTTCCTCTTCACAAGTTGCCATTGCAAACAATATCAGCGGTACTATGAATTATACAAGTGATGACAGGACTGTATTGAATATTCATATAATTTACTTCATAGAATATATAATTATCCTTTTTTTTCTCTGTTAACCACAAAAATAAAGGGCTTCCAGACTGAGGAAATGATTAAGGGGCTGATGGAATGGGCACTGAAATTAAAGACCCTCTGCTTTGAATTTGGTAATTTCTGAACAGATCTCTAAACCTTTCTTTTCCTCAAAATGCTCTTTGTAATAACCTGTTTCCTTTCAGTCTGCACAGAGCTAAAATGAGCATTAAGGAAGATTTCCCTTTATTCTACAAACAAACTCCCACATGTAATACTGGAGAAAAGTGCTAGATAAATACATTAGTTCTGCTTAGCAAGTTAAACATCAAAAGCTGAAAAGTCATTTGCCCATCTGTTCGGCAACTGCTGGTGGCATCCAGGTGATTTTGAATGCACTTCTGCATAAAGCAATGAGTTTCAGGACTTGCAAGGCACCATGCTCTACAAAAGACTAAACAACACTGTTCCAGGTAGATAAAAATGCAAGTATTTACCAGTATTGCAGACTTTTATGAATCATTTCTGTTTTAAAAAAATGAATCTATGTCACCATTCAAATTTCAGAAGATATTATAAGACCAGCACCTAAAAAAATCCAGAGATTGCTGCTATGCTCCCATGTCCCAGTTGAGCCATGGCAAATGGCTGTATACATTGTTGTAACCATGAAATAAAATGTGTAAACACCCCCTCAGATTTCAGACTGCAAATCAGTTTGGATGGGATTCAGTGTGAGATTCAGACTTCTAAGTTTTGGATGTCTGTCAGCAGGTGTCTTTAGCTAAGTGACTTAAATTTCAACTGCAGTGATGACAGATTCACTTTGGTAGCAATGGGCATTCTGACCTACATCTACAGGCCACAGGACCTACAGGTTCTTCTGGAAGATCGGTAGAAAATAAGGCAAGATACCCAAGGGTAACTTTGAAATCTCTGGATGTTTGTGCTCATCCCACCCATGGATCAGGACTGGGGTAGCTTTAAGCTGTGATAACTAGACTGTTACTGGCTGGCCCATTGCATTGCTCACCAGAGAACTGGTTTTAGATGCCTACCTGCTTCTTGTGATGTGCGAAACTACTTCATGAAAGCACCAGACCTGGACTTTAGTACTGCCTGTAATGGGAGATTAGACACCTAAATAATGTCTAAGAAATAGAGGTGTCTGTATACCCAAATTTAGAGGCACAATTCGCCAGTGTAAATGCAAGCATATCCTTTAACCTGAGAAAGTTTAGGGTGCTTGAGGTATTGGTATGGGGCTGGCAGAGATAAGACAGAAAATCTTGGGTACCCTGAATCTTTTCAAAGAAAAACTGGCTGATATGTGAGATTACTCAGAGTCTATGTGATAAGAAATTCCATTACTGAGGAATCTGATCCCTACCCAATGTGCTGCAAACAGATTTTGTCTCACACAAGCACTAAGATAATAGTTTCACACAGACAGTTGTGGCTACCACGCCAGTAGGCAGTTAAATAATTGTTTCCTGGTCTCTAACGTCATTGTCCAAAGCTGAGAATCTGAAATCTATCACTCGCCTGCCATTTCCCCTACAGGCTGATCAACTTCAGTCTTATGGTAGTATGTGACACTACATGTAGATGTTCTACAGTTCATTTCATCAATATCTAGCAGTCCCTTTATTTTGGCAGGATTTAAAAGCTGGATTTTTCTACTCCTAACTATTACCTGTATGCAGAATAAAAATATTCTTCTGGCTAAGTCCTTGATGTATTCAATGCAGACAACTTGAGAGCATATATAGCATGCAGTCATAGAGTTAGGATACTTCCAAAAGATAGGTGACAGCTGCCTCTTCTTTTGTAAAAGCATCCAGTTTAAGACACAACCATTATAAAGCAGTCAGAATGCATGCCCCAGAAAAATAATTAAAAGGGGACATTACGTTGCTAGCTGGGAATCTGAGGTTCAGTTCTTTCTCCTGGTTCAAGTTTTCCACGTGACTGTTCTTCCCGCTTGAAAGTGGAGCAACGCTATTTACTTCTTTTAAAAGGTACTTTGAGACTTGTGGGTAAAAAATGCAAGCCAGCAGCTCAGTGTTCTACTAAGCTGGGTGCTGTAAGGGTAACTATACTAAATGTGCTACAGGAATAGAGACACAGCCTTTTAATAGGCTAAGTATGTCACTTGAATTATTTTCTAACTAGATAATTTGGAATTTTCAGACCAAAAAAAGAATGATTCAAGGACATCTGGATCAAGCCTGGGTAAAGGGAAGAAGTTAAATCATGGAAGTGATGCTGCTTTGCTGCTTGCTCAGAGGGCGTGACAGACCAGAGGGTCAAGGCAGCAGCAGGCCCTACATGTTCACAGCTCCACCAAACCACTCCACTTCGCAGCGCTCCAAAACTTGCCTTATTCATGAGAATCACACCTCTCTGAGCACACAGCTCTCCTCGACACATTTGCCCGAGGCAGAACGCAGCTGTGTGTGAACTCTCAGCTGGCATGGAGCTGTGATGGCTTTGTGGTCAGCATCACAGCTTCTCACATTTAAAGAGCTCAGCAAGCAAAGCCCTTTGAACAATTGAGCAGGTATTTCTGCACTGAACTTCTAATATTGTCACTTTTTGTTTTGTTTTCCTTTTCTTGCTTTCTCGCGCTAAATGACGCACAGACTGGCTTTTGGGGAAGGGGGAAACCAAGTGCTGCACAGCCATTCTGGCGACTTTAACCTCATTTAACCCTCAGCACAGCAAGAGGAAGTACAAAGTATTTTCACGAGCTGTGAATGCGCTCAGATCTGGTTTTGACGTCTTGAGGAAGCGCTGCCTTCTGCAAAACCAGAAACACAAAAAAATGTATGTGAAGTTCCAAACTCCAGGGTTCAGAGTCACAGAATCACACAGAAACCATCCCGTCCCACTTCCCCCCCACCCCACAACAGAGGCCACCGGAGAGAGTGGGATGGGGTCCCTGCGAAACGGGGAGGGTTTGGGTCAGCGCCGATGTCCCCGGGCGGGGCGCAGCGCGGGTGACAGTCACACGCGCCCCTGCCCTGATTCCGCTGCGCGGACAGCCCAGCGTCCCGACCGCCGGCTGGGGAGCCAGGGGGTCCCCCCCGTACGGTCTGCGGAGACCCATCCCTATCCCCATCCCCATCCCCATCCCCATCGGAGGGCGCCTCGCCCACGGCGGCGGGAGGCGGGTCCGGGGGAGCCGCGCCCGGGGCGGCCGCCGGCGGGAGCCGCACGCAGCCACCGCGGGGCGGGGCGGGTCTGCCAGCGTCGCGCTGGGCCGGGCGGGCTGGGCCGCGCCGCAGCGCCGGCGGCTGATTCGGAGGCAGCGGCGGGGGATGGACGAGGGTACCTGCGGCGGCCAGCAGCGACGGGCGGCCCAGGTAAGAGCGGGGAGGCACGGAGGGGCCCGGGGCTGCGCGGGGTGGGGGCTGAGCTGCCTCTGCTGCTCCTTCTCTCGGCGCCCCCGCATCGCGCCGAGGCGGGGATGGCGCGCTGCAGCCGCGGAGTCTCCCCGCTCCCCTCGCCCTCTGAGCCTCCTCAGCCGCCTTTGTGCCCGCTCCCCGGCCCCGAGGCACCCTCCCCGTGGCGCCCCTGCCCCTCGCACCGCGGGGGCTGCGGGCGGTGGCGGGAGGAACCCGGAGGGGCACGGCCAACTGTTGCCTGGGAAGCGCCGGCCCCGGAGCGCTGCCAGCGGCCCCGGGGCGGTGAGCGCCGGGGGCTGGCTTCGCCCACAGCCCCGCTTGGAGAGGCATCGGGTGCGGTGCGAGCCCAAGCGGAGGTTCCCGATTGACCTCGCCGAGCCGAGGAGACGCTTTCCCGGCCACCGGGTCCTCCCTGGTGGAAGTCTCCGAGTTGTCGCTGCCGGCCGGCGGATGCCGAAGCCGCCGCGGCCGCAGGGACGAGCAGCGCCGGTGCGAAGCCGGCTGTGCCCGCGGCAGGGCCCGGGGAGCTCCGCGCTGGCCCGGGGTGTCCGTCAGACAGCGCGTCGCTGTGCCTGGCTGGACTGAGTGCTGCGGGGGGGTCAAAGGGAGATTAAGCTTCAAACTTTGATTATACCGAAAACTTTCTATTCCAGCTGTTGGTGATTGCTGGATGCAGGGTGCCATAAGCGTGGTGTTTTCAGCGGGATGTACTTAGATAGGAGATAAAAGACAGGCTCTGTAATGCTGCATTCATCTCGTTTAAATCGCTGTCCATGTTGGGAGGTGTTAGAGCGAACAGATAGCACGCTTGTATCTATTATTCCTATTATTATTTTCCTCCTCATTTGATTCCAAGACCGTTGAGTTTTATTTATCTTTATCTGGGGTTTGTTTTGCTAAGGTCTCAGTAATACATTGTGCTACTGTGTAAAATCGAATGCTCTGTAATTCACTGGCAACACAGCGAGGCTCTTAAAAGGCTTTCAGTGGTGCTGCTAATAACTTGCCGAGGGTGGTGATGTGAGTTGATTTCCAGCCTGTTCCCTGTCTCTAGCTGCCATACAGACCATCTTTACACTCTGTTTTTGTTACCAGTTCTAAAGTCAGTTTATATGTGTGTGGGGAAAGGGTAGGTTAAGGGGGACAGAGATATCTTTGCTTTTCTTCTGTTTTGATCATCTGCAAGGCCATAAAAAAAATTAAAATTACTTTGGCAGTGAACTCTTAGGTGGGGGGGAGATTTGGGTTGAAATGCTGTCGTGACATGAGGTTGCCTTGTGGGCAAAGATTTTCACATGCTCAGCACAGCTCTACAAAAATACCCCAACTCCTGTTACACAGGGAAGAACTGAGCAGACACTTCCTTTTTCTCTGTTATGGTAACTTTCGTATTTCTGTAACATGTAAGGAAGACTGTTACATCAGCAGTGTACTTTTTTAAAGTAATTTTAAAAATAAACCTTGTAATTTCTTTCATTTAAATCTTTTCTGCTCTCCTGTAATACCCCCAATCCCCCATCTCACCAGGCCAAAATTAAAAACTAATTATAAAGTCCTACTGTTTCCTTTGTTAGACTTTAAAAAAATGTTTCAATGAAAATAAATTACAGTTTATGGGAACATCATGATAGGTTTGACTTAATTTTATAAAGAGCATAGAGTAACAACCAAGAATAAAATTCTAAGAATTTTATTCTTCAACTTAAACTGCTGTATTATAGTTTGACTGCTGGTCTTTAAAGTTTCACTTAACGTGAACTGTGGCAAGTATAAACAAGGCTTTCTGAGTTACTTACATGGTTTCTCAAAGACTGTGCAGTATTTTCCTGTATTCTGTTCTGTACTTCTTCAGTACCCTCCTATGCTGCTTTTGCAGTGATGCTTTGTTTTTTCCCCCCAGAACTTCTGCTCTTTATTATAAACTGAAAATAAACAAACCACAAGTGATTGAAAAGACAGTGTATACCAGTAATTAGAGTAAAACCCCCTTGATTAAGTCAGAAAGGAAAAATGGTGATCATCTTGGATACTATTGCATAATTACTGTCGTCAGATGTCATTTTGCCATGACAGTGGGTCTATTAGTGAATTTTACAGTGCTGCGAAGATAATTCATTGTTCGTGTGCTCAGCTTGTCCTCATGACATCACTTTTGACGCTGTTTTGTCAGGCTGAAATATCTTGTCCTCAGCAGTATGGCAGCCTTACAAAGGCATTGAGGATTTGCATGTGCAGTATGTTGCAGATTTCCACATTGTGTGATATACAAAATGAGCTTAAATGCTATATGTTATTTAGATGAATAACCATTCCTGAACTTTGACAGAAATAATATTTTGTAGGTGTACAGATAGAATAAGTAAGATCTCTTTAGCATATTTTTATCTGCTTCCAAATGCCATTCTAATTGGTGGTTTTGGAGAAACTGTAAAATATTTTTTGTGGAAGTACTAGCATGCTTGAGCACTAGATGTATATTACATGCAGTAGCACATGAACTTAATCATTCAGTTCACATTTTATGCAAACCAGAAAAATGCTATTCTATATCCAAACCCTGTATATGATCCAGACATCATTAAGTCTCCTGTTAAAGTCCCTGGAGACAAACAGGGTATTTTATTGGGACCTATAATGTCAGTGGATAGGGGTGAATTGATGCTAACAATGTATGTTAATTTGAAGCAGCCAAACATCTTAGTGTTTCCTCTGTTACTGAATTCAGTATGTATTTGGATCCATTTCAATATTATCAATCATTCTTTTAGCAGTGCTTTCTACTCATGTTATCTAGGAATGCAAAACAGTAACACTAAATCAGAGAAAACAGTTTGAGAGGCATGAATTAAAATATTTAATATATGGGGCAGTTTGAGAGCTGCAAAGAAAGGCAGTCATAAATTTGAATTTTGTTGTTTAAATTAAAATTGTAATAGAAGCTGCTCTGCACTTGTGTGAATGATGATGAGAGCAATCTGAATGATTTGAGCTGTACAGGTTCTAATTGTTATGAAGTACCAGGAATTTACCATTCTTCTACTTAGACAAAATTCCAATTCCTGATTCCAATTAAAATGAAAAACGTGCCTTATTTTCTATCTGTATATACTGCTCAATATACGTTCTTGATTTAGACTGGTAGCAGTAGTTGATCCTACAGAAAAAACAACAGTAATAGGTATAGGACAAGAACCTTTCAGGACTGGTGTGACCCTGCAGCACTGACACACAAGTGCTTGAAAGATTTTTATTTAGTATTGTGGGTTTAAAATGTTTAGAAATTATGCCAGCATGAAGATAGCAACCATGAGATTTAGTTAAACATCACTCAGTCTTACCTTAACTCAAGAATGGTTACCTTGGCATGCTAACAACTGAAATACTCTTGTCTAATTTATGGACTTGTCAATAGACTAGAAAACTAGTGCTCTGAGGGACTTCTTTGTGCATATTCCTTTTTTTTCCTGTCCATGACAGTACTTCGGTAGTGCTTTTTGTAGACAGGTTGACAGATTTTAACAACATGGTTTGGATGACCAGTAGTGCAAAAGGTGAAGCTAATGCATAAGTCTTATCTTTGAGTAAATCTGTCTAAGGAATTTGTGATGTTTATAATGTGTGAAACATTAAATTTTGAAGGTTGCAGTAGCTGCGCAGCTTGTGGTGTTAAGTGTGCCTATCATAAATGCTAATCTGGTTTGGTTCAAGTCTTGGGTTAATAAATGTGATTAATGAACCCGTGTTCCTGAGGCCTGATGAAGAGCATCCATAGCATCCATTCAGCATGGGAGCTGTCGTGTCTAGAATATGGCATGGAACATACTGAAATCTTGAGTTTGATCCCATTTGTCTGTGATGAGCTTGGTACGACAGAGTGCAAGTTCACACAATATAAAAACACTGTGGAAGTGATGGGGTGTTTTTAAGGGAATGTGTAGACTTAAACTGACATTTTAGAGAAAAGTAATTCTGTACTGTCCTGTATCTCTCTGATACACATAGGTTTAACTTAAAGATTAAACAGTTGTTAGAAGCTTTCTTATATATAATTTATGGGATTTGTGGGTGGGGGGGAAAACTCTTCTCTCTGCTGTATTACTGCCTGAGTTCATAAATTATTTGAGTGGCCTATTTTACAACTAGATGACTCAAAGCTGAGGTTGATGGTCCTAAAACCCATGTCTGAAAGCACATTTTTCTACATTTTTTACTGTGAAGAAAAGGAGATGCACGAGGGCTTCTGTTCTGCATCCATCCATAGCTGTTAACCACTGAGACTGTTCTGGAGAGTGGAATCTCTCTCCTGCCTCACTGCCTTTGGCATCCAGAGATGGGAATGCTCCCTCAGGATTAGAAAAGCTTGTTTTGCTAAGAAATAAGTGTAAGCTATTTACTCAAACTTGAGTAAAAGCATTTGTAATTATGTTAGTCTCTCTCCTCTTCATTTTTTATGGTGCATTAGTTGCATCCCATATTCGTTAAGTGCGACACTTCATTCTCTGTCCTTTTCAGCTTTAAGTACCTTGAGTTCACATCACCCTCTTCCCAAGAGACTGAAACAAGCAGAGTGTCATAAGCTGTCCTTTATTTCACCTGCAACCTTTGGGAAAAAAACAAAACAAAACAGTAATTAGGCCAGAGGCCTAAACTCCTGCCCGGTGATTAAGGCATTCAGGGGACGGAAATCTGGTTTCTATAGGTGTTTCATTCTTTTATCCAGTAAATATTTTTCCATTTCATAACTTCTGCAGGAATAGTCTTAGGACAGACAATAGCCTGTGGTTTAGGGCTCTACCCTGGTGTGCAGAGATGTGGTTGGGAGGCAGTCTCTCAACCTGAAAGGAGCCTACCACCCACTTCTACTTCCTCTGTGGTTGCTTTCCTGATGCTTTTAAATGGCCCCGTGGTGCTTGAGCGCATGATCCTGCCCTCTCATCCAAAACTTCAAAATTGCATGA